TTCTGTATACATATATATGTATGGTATAAATGTAATGCTTATGCGTTTTAAACCCCTGAAGGACCAGAGGAAATTTTACTGGTATGGAAAAGAGGATGAGGAAAATGGAAAGTTGGAAACTAGAGGAAGAAATGGAAGGGGTATGGATATGTTGGATAGGTGGTGGTGGCAGCAAGGTACGTGCTGGAGCATACCAAATGCAATCTAATATTACACTGAGTGCCAGTATTTATATGCAAGCCTAGACTTACGTTTCTACATATATACTGTGGGAGATATCTCTATACTTCGACGTGAATAACTTAGTTTCCCAATTATTACATAAATTATAATTCAACTCGATAAGATGGAATTAATACTCTTTATAGAAAATATGCATTTCATTTCAGATTCATTTAAATGAAATGTCAAATCGAATAAGACTAATTTAGATAAGGAAGAATCTAATTATTTTTTAAATATTATATGAAAAGATATGCCGTTGGTGTGTTAAGAATTCTGTATTTCTGAAATTCGTTTTGGAATCTGGAGTCCTGTTAGATTAGTTTAGATTAAGTTAGACCTTCCTTTTGTGAAAGAAGAATAGGTAGGCAAGAATTCCTTCTTCGGATTGGAAGAAAATGTAGCCTAAAATGGCTTAGATTTTGCACTAAAAGAAAGTAGCGTCACACTGCCATCGCGGTTATGTAACTTTTAGTCTAAAATTTTCTCAGTACAGTTTAAAAGAGAAATGATCTTAATTTCCTTTCCAAAGAATGAAGGAAGGGAATCAAGTAGCTCTCAACACTATCGGGTGCAATGGAGAGTAGCATCAAAACTTGTGATTCCAGAAAGGAACAATTGGGTTATCAGTTCTTTAGAAGCTTATAAATCAACAGGAGGAGACGACTGTATAATAATCATAAACTCAGACGGTGCAGCTCCAAGATTAATTAATTATAAAAATTGTTTTCTTATGATACTCACTTCTTTTGTTTAAATAATAAATTCACGTATTAACAAACCAACTTGCCAAAGTTGTCAGATTAATAGTCGACTTGTAATAAATAAATTCGATTCTTATTTGTCCTTTCGTTCTGTTATGAAAACTCTTGCGAGGCATTGAGGATTCTCGCCCGGTCACAAAGACGTTGAGGATATCACTATCCATCATTGAAATTAGAAGTCATCAAGGAAAGAGCTTCCTGGTGTATATATTTGGATGATAGTACCGAATATTTAAGAACACCAGGAAGACGAAATTGCTGTTTTGTTGACGATCTGTCCAATCAATACTGGCAGTCAATTTTTCTATGGACTTCTCGCATCAATCAATTTAACATCGGATAGTGTAGGGATCTGCGTTACCGACGATTGCGTATTGATTATCGGTCGCGAGTATTATATTATTGAATATTACTCTCTAAATCTGAATTAGTAAAAATGTTTATTAATTTGAATTAGTGACTCACTTTTTGCTTCTGAATTAGTAAAATTTTACTAATTATTAGTAACTTTTAATAACAATTAGTAAAATTTAACTAATTCTAAAGCAAAAAGTGAGTCACTAATTCAAATTAGTAAACATTTTTACTAATTTAGATTTAGAGAGTAATTGATCTCAATCACACCTAGAAAAGAAGCCGCTGTTTAACGACGCTTTCGAGTTTGACTCGTCAGACATTTTATTCTTATTCTCATCCTGGTGTTCGTAGATTCAAGTTGTGTTCTATTCTTTTTCGTGTAAATTAATTAAAATTTAAAATTATAAAAATGAGACGAGGCGTCGTCGTCGTCAAATGGACGGTGAGTCCCAATAAATTAATTAGGAGTCGTTTCCATGAGAATCGATCTTATTATTATTATTAAAGTATAATTGAATAAATAAAATATAAATCCTGTCTTTCGGCCTTCTGCCATTATTCAACTTTTTCTAAAATTTGAAGTGAATATTAATGAATAGTGTTATTCTTATAAATTTTGTCTAATGGTGTTTATCCTCTTCCCCCCCTCTGCGCGGTCTATTGTTGCTGTAAAGTAACAATGGAATTCCTGAGCTGATTTTAATTTTTTCTAATTAGAATTATAAAATTTACTTGTCGGGTTATTTAATTATTTTTTTAGGTTTATTTTATTTTATTTTAATAATCAAGTTCCTAGGGCTTAAAGCCCTTCAAGGAACAGCATACAGTATTTCACAAAGCACAATGGCAAATATCATATAATATAATAACTAAAAACTAAAAAGTAAGGTTCAATTATAAATGAACAAAAGAAGGATACTGATACAAATAAAAATATAAAAAAGAGAAAATAAGGAGAAAATAATAGTAATATAACAACAATATAAAGAAAATGGAAATACAACTAGTATAACACATAATAAAGTTTACCAATAGGTTACATCAAATAATCTAGTATCCTTTTTAAACAAAAAATCGAAGAATAGTTTTTTAAAGCTAAACTGAGTTGGTGTTTCTCTAATAACAACTGGAAGCTTGTTCCATAATCTTGCTCCTCTGATAATGAAAGATTTTTGCATTTTACAAGTTTTATGGAATGGTATTACTAATTTATTTTTTTTTCTCTGAGTCTCGTATAATTATCCTCATTGGGGTTTTTAATTTTAAAAAATTCAAAAAGATATGATGGAGTTTCATATATATATATAAAAAATTAGACGTGTAATATAATTTATCGTCAGTTTGCTCTCTCTAGGTCAAACACGTATATTACATCAATTTTGATTCAATTAAATTGGTGACACTTGAATTGAGAGTAAAATCGCTGGAGGACAAGTGGCACTTTAATTACGTTTGGTATATATATCAGGAAAATCAGTGTGACATGAGTCGAGTAAACCCAATTTACCTAATAATATATTCTTTTGATATTATTGTTACTGATGTCGTTTAATTATAATTATGGAATTTCTCTGTTACGATAATGGTCGACATCCAATTTTTCCAATTGCAATTTTGATTGCTTGTTCACTCTTTGTATAAAGTATCTAAATAAGATCTTTTATCTCGACAGTACCTATATTTTTCGAATAATATTTCCTATTGTATTTTTAAACTGACAAGCAATAATTACATAATTTTACACAGAGATGAATAATTTCATTAAAAGAGATTATATTACAAAGAATTATTAAAATTATTCACAAGTAATATTAGGTATTTCTTTTTATTTAATTTATAAACAAAATGAGTGTCGTACAATTAATAACATTTCAAATAATGAATTATGTCAATAAACTGTGTTTTTTAAAATCCAATAATACATTTTTTTTTTATTTTTAATATTATATATATGCCATTCCAGGAGTTTTTATCACTTTTCGGAGAAGCCTTTCCAAATTAAATGAAACCTTTTTTTTATAATATTTATTAATATAAAGGTTCAAAATAATCACTTTTTAAGTAAAAACAATTGTTTATTTACAAAATACAGCAATAAATAATGAAAAAAATTTACTTTTTGTTCTGCTCAATAACGAAAGTGACAACTTCCGAACGTCGCGCGCAGCTTTAGCAGACGTTTCACAGTAAATAATATACAAAAAAGTAAACAAACATTGTTTAATAAATTGTGGGTTAACTATTTTATTATACATTATTTTTCTTGTGCTGTATTAAAGCTTGAAAAATAAGGAAAATTTTGATCTTTAAACCAATTTATTTGGTGGTGCACAAAAAAAGTGAATTTTTTTCATTATTTATTGCTGTATTTTGTAAATAAACAATTGTTTTTACTTAAAAAGTGATTATTTTGAACCTTTATATTAATAAATATTATAAAAAAATGATTCATTTAATTTGGAAAGGTTACTCCGAAAAGTGATAAAAACTCCTGGAATGGCTTATATATATATATTTGTAAATTAAGAGAATAATTTCAGCGTCAGAGAAAAATGTGGTATATTCACGAGTATAAATTATTAGAGCAAAAAGAATTTCAAGTGATAGCTGCTGTCTGATTTTAGTTGAAATTAAATAAAATTTTAAAAAAAGTTACTTTTAAAAACAACTTTATGTTACCTCAACTACTCTCAACATAACCAGTAAGCGTAAAGATGAATATGAGATTAAAATTTTAATATATACCCTCAAATAACGATATTTTATATATGTATTTAGTGAAACGAGTACTTTCCCTTAATTACATTTTCAGATTTTAATAAATTAATGAAATTCCACGTTCAACAAATCCATGCTATTCATGTTTAAATTAATTTTTTCCTCCTAACGCATTCATTTTATTTTCTATGTAATTTTAAAATCAATAAAACAGTGAACAAAATTAATGAAGAATTTAAACAATTGTGATTAAATTTATTATTAGTTAATTTAAATAATAGAGCATGATAATTTATTACTTTTTTAAAAAACAATATTACTTCTTCTTTTTAGTAACTCAACAGTAAAAACGAGAAAATTCTCAAACATTGAACATTTCAATGCAATTCATTGCAAATTTCATTTTAAATTAAAAAGTATTAATTGTAAAATATTTTCTGTACTAAAAGCAAATGTTTACAGTAAATACTTATATCAAATAATACGAGTTTTATAGTCTTCTAACATCAAAACCCAATAATAAATATTTAATTTAATTTTTAAAAAGACCGTCGATAAAATTAAATTTTTGTTTTATAGCACAAAAATACCTCTTCTATTTACAGAGGAACAATTCTAAATATTAAACAATCTCCTCTTAAATTAAAAAAAAATTCTCCTCTTAAATATTCTTATTTTAGAAAGAGAATTTAAAAATGAAATATCCCTTTCAATTTAAGAATAAACTTTCTTCAATCATTATTCTACCTTAAAAAAGAAATAGTGAAGAGTAAAATCGTTAATGGATGGAACTTTTTCTTGAAAATTTTAATAAGAAATTTTTTGTGAACCTATAGTATATAGTTGAATATTCTAACTTTCTTTTTTATGCTGATGGAACTGACGTTAAAAATTATGATCCTATTTAAAAGACTATATAAAATATTGTATGACACTCACCTGCGCATCAGCAAGGATGCGGCGCATTAAGGCCAGGGTGGGGTGTGATGTGACGGCATCATCAAGGGCAAATACATCACTGTCCTTGTTCAACTGATTTAAGCTCGACAATGCTAAAACAATAAAAACAAGTCTCATAAATTCTTTATTTAAATATATAATAATTATTTTGAATAACCCTTCAAAATCATTTGCATTATAATAAGCCATCAACTGGAATTACTTGCTTTAATTTAAAGTCATATGAAGCTAACACAATTTGAGGGACAAAAAAAATGAATGTTTATGCTATAACTGAAGTTTGCTACAAGTATATATAGTTAATTACTAAATATTTAACAAGTCTCAGAGAACTACAAAATGTTAGTTGAATAGAAATTGACAAAGTTTGCTTAGTATCTCAGACGATTATATTTTTTTTTACTCTTCTCATGAAAGTAATTTCAATTAACCAATAAAATTTGATTATCTGGAGGGAACTTTGTCGTCAATTTACTGTGTAGGAGATACTACACTTTAGTTAGGTTTCGCAAATTAGAACAAACTTCCACCGCCACAAAGTATAGTGTTAACAGCATGTGATTGTTAGGTGACGTGACCACAACAATGTTAATTTTATCGGGATTTTAACACTTTAACGCCCTATGGTACGCATATGCTGTACCATAAATTACTTAAAATCATTAAAACTGTTGAACGAATATATATATATAACTTAAAATTTTTAATTACTAGCACTGATTCAACTTATTCCCATTTTCTACAAATAAAAATAAAAAAGCATGTTAGGAATAACATTTTTAAAAATACAAGAAATAGCACCAAGATATATTATGCAATTTTCCTTAAAATCAATAAAACATGGATAATATAGCCCCATAAAAAATATTTTCCGCGTCAGATCTGAATACATTCATTCTTTCTATTTTTATATGCACTAAACATGAATCTGAAGGCAAATTTCCAAAATTTCAAAATGTCGGACCTAATATGGTCGATGAATTTTTCAAAATTTTTTAATTACTCGAGGGTTTTTGAGGTCGCTGATTACGAATTTGAGATTGGATTTTCAAAATTAAAAATGGCAGACCAAATTACGAATTTGAAGTAAGATTCGTAATCAATGCCTTCAAGGTGCCATAAATAGCCAATTTCATTAAAATCTAATTGTTTTCATAAATTCATCAACCATATCGGATCCGCTATTTTTTTAAAATTATTTCATCCTTTTCGGAATGATTTGTACATAGCCTAGAAGATTTTGTCAATCGAAAATTTGCACCTATTGAATTTTCCCACAAAATTCGACGCTTCTCATCTTTTGGGAAAGTAAATGAAGCATTTCCATTACATAAAGGGACAGAACATTTAACCATTGTATAGAAAATCACTTAATTAAATTTTTTTTTAACTTCTGACACTTTCCATTACCACGCTGGCTGGATAATGACTGACAATAACATATACAACACAGCTGATGGTATCAATCAATCTTCTAAAATCTTTAAATAGTTATCCACACTTTATTGTCATCACTATTTCTTATTTTTATGATTGTATTCGTCATTTAAGTAAACAAAAACTTTTTATATTTTTTTAATTTAATATCATGCAACAAATTCGATTTGAAATTTGGCGCTTTAAAATCTTAGGAATTTTCTCTCTCTCTTACTACTGCACATTGCCATCATAACAACTCCTGCAGGCGGGTGGCCAAAAAGGTGTGAGTGCGCCCTTACAGTGATGCTGCTCTCTACTGGTTGAGTTTGACCGTGAGGATTCCCATTATTATAAAATACTTAATAGTGATGTCAGAACTAACTATATATACTAATACATGAACTACTCTGTTTAGAACTTTGAAATTGAAATTATTGAAAAATATTGAATATTTTAAAGTTCAGCATTTGTTTTGGTTTTGAATTTATAGCGAAATGTCGCATAAGAATAATTTGTAAATCTCTTAATACTAAAACTTGAGTGAGTTCTGTTAAATCTTTAAAATTTCTGAAGCAATTTTTAAAATGAAATTAATGAAATGAAATTTTTGAATGAATTGATCTGGAATTTTGTACACTGACAGAAAAATATGCTATTGAATTAACAGTCACGGTGCGCCAGAAGGAGGTTTAAATAAAAATGAATTGGCACTTAAAAATTCTTTTTGATTATGGTTCTAAGATGAATAAAAAACTTTTCTCAATAGGTTTTAAAATCAGCTTACGTGCCCAATTTAAAACAAATTGAGTTTTAAATATTTAAAAATAGTATTTTATGAGAAACCAGAATATTTATTTAATGTATACTTATATGCGTATAGATAATAGATGTTTTAGATTTGGGTTCATATAAATTTATTAACAATGAAGTTATTTTCTTGTTTCGTTTTTATATTTATGCATTAAGAGTGTCGAACGGTATCTGAAATTCTTTGGCAAGAAGAGAGCTTTAATTATCGCTCTGAACGTGAAATAGTATTGATTTTAAAATACTTTTTTCTCGAAACACGAACACTTTTAACAAAATCAGCCAAAATCCTCATCTTATAAATTTCCTAATTCCAAAAGATTGTACGAATCCATAGAAAAACATGGTTGCAAAACAAAAAGTAGAAAAGTAATCTAATAACAGCTGCGACTTTGTGCGCCCTGCATGCTGCTGCCATCTGACGGCGGCAGGAGGTAATGAACCCCTCATTATATTACTTTTCGTTTTGCAATCGTGTTTTTGTATGGATTCGCATAATCTTTCGGATTTAGGAAATTTATATAAGATAACGATCTCTAGCTGCTTTTGTAAAAAGTGTCTGTCTTTCGAGAAGAAAATATTTTAAAATCAATGTTTATCATTTTCACGTTTAGTGCCGTTTTTATAGACAGATAATTAAAGGTCTCTTCTTGCCAAAAAATTTCAGAGACCATTCGACTCTCTTAAATAAATTTTGTCACTCTTAAAATCGTTCTTTTAACATTATAATTTAATTTTTTAAAATCGGACACAAACACTACAGCAATATAATTATTTATCTGTAAAATTGAAAAGAAGTAATTATATTATCATTTATTACAGTATTTATTAGATTAAATAAATTCTGATTCCCCATAAAACACTGTTTTTATATAAAAACTCAATTTTATTTAAATCGGGCACGTAAACTGATTTAAAAAACTATTGAGAAATGTCTTTTATTCATCTAAGAATCATAATCAAAAAGAATTTTTAAGTGCCAATTCATTTTTATTTAAGCCACCTTCTGGCGCACCGTGCAGTACTTCTGCCAAAAGCATAAAAATTATTTATGCTTTTGAATCAATAATTTTTATGTCTTTGGCAGAAATGCTGTTTATTCAATAGCATATTAACATATTTTATAAAATATGACAAAGAACTTTTAACATAACTTTGATTTTTTAAAAAAGTAGTGTTACTACTATTTTCTGTGATTCGATATTCTTCAACAACATTTTCGTTGAAGATTTTTATAATTATACTTTGTCCCGGGTGATGTTAATGGATCGTCTAAATCCCCTATCGATCGGTCGCCTTCCCAGATGGTTGATATATAGGGTGTATTGGTGTACCAGGTGGGCAGTAAATCCAAAGCGGACAAAAATCAGAAAAACAACAAGAAAGGATTCCAATTTATCGATTACAGCATCACATGTGAGCAGAATGAAAATGGTAAATTTCACCGCTGGCTACTCTCTAAATTTGAATCAGTAAAAAAGTCACTAAATGTCAAATCAGTCGCTAAATTCCAGATATTTGAATAAATATTAGTTGGAATTTAGCAACTGATTTGACATCAATTAAACTTTTTTACTGATTCAAATATACAGTAAATTGTGGGTTATTATTTTAATACCAAAACGGATTAAAATAAGATTTATTGAAGATTAAAATAATAAATACCTATATATTTTTATAATTCATTGAGAGAATTAAAATTTTTGGTAAAAACTACATATAGATATAATACTGACAATAAGAGACTTTTTGTTTTTCTTTCAAATTATATGAAACTTTAATATGGTAGCGTTTGAAAGTTGTAAAATCCTGGATTTTGTTAATGATAAATTCATAAAAATAATACCAGTTTTTGCGAGTTATACCTTTCTGTATCAACTTTTCTGATTCACACACACACATATACATCGAAAATTTTCATTTTTCATATTGACTAGAAATATATTTATTGTTGGTTCGGTTTTAAGCACCTATACCTACTGCACTCATGTTTACAAAATAGAAAAAGGTAAAAAAAACATTGTTTGAAAAATGTCTAGAAAATTTTTCTGTGATAGTAAAAGAAATGCTAAATACATATAACTTGTAGCTACTATTATTACCTATTTAGCGGTGTATCAAAGTTTGCTAATTGTTTACCTCAAAGAAAGTTAGACACGAAAAACAAAACTTGATCCACTCATGACTACACTCCCCTACCTACTAAAAATGTGTCATTAAAAAAATAAAATAAACGAAAAAATAAGAAACATCAAAGATAATTTTAAAATATTTTTCGTATAGAAGCAATAATATAGTATAGCGCGACCACTCAATGTTAGAGGTTGTTTTCCTTGCCTTGATAAAAGAAATACGCCAGCCCTGCATGTACACAATAAGAAAATGAAACTTTAGCGGGAGTTTGGGTTTACCTAAATTTAAAGTGTATTTCAATATTATGCGACCATATAAAACGGAAGTGAGATTCTTTATAGTCTTTTTCGCTGGGTGTGGAAATACCATAGCACTCCAGCTGGCGCACCTGGTGCGCACAAAGTTCACCGTTAAACTTTTCTTTTCAGCCTTTATAAACAAATTCTAATTTTTTATTAATATTTTTACTATAAAATAGCTTTCGCTTATTAATACTTTCCCGATTATAATGTAACATTATTAAACTAAAATTATAATTATTTATTAATTATAATAAATAAATAAAAAGAATTAAAAGATGTTTGTTAAATTAAAATAGAAATTAATAAAAACATGTAATATTATTTTTTGATATACAATATTGTTTGTAAATATTTTATTTCAACGTAGTAAAATATTTTTATGAATTTTTCATCTCACTTTTCTTTCAATTGTTTTTTATATATAAAAAATTGTATAAAATATATATTTCTCGATATTTTATTCTCGAGTTTTTCAATTCTAATTTCTCTTTTATTCAAAACAAGTAGTTTTATTTGTGATTTGTGATCTCTCTTTTGTGTATGTATTTTGTCTTTCCAAGAGTTTTTTTTTATTGTTTCCATCGATTCTATCTACAATAAAGCCTCAGGTCTCAATCGACCATATGTTTGGTTTTTCTTACACTTTTTATATATACCTTCAACGCTTTTATTGTCCCAAAATATATATATATAGTTTCATTTCACCGCAGGTTCCAGTAAAATTTTCAACATGAAAAATCTTCAGTCTCAAAATCCCCTTTGAATCCTTCAAAAACATTTGAGCTATAGATATATTTTTTATCTCTCACATATATACCATGAATATTTTTGTAAATCTGCTTCTTCACATTTCTTTCAATTTTTTCTTCAGCATTGAAAAATTTCACTCTCCATAAACCACATGAAATTTTATGAGTTACATATATGGGCAAATCCACAGAACCGGCCGATTTCATGTTACTCACATATTTTTCTATTTTAGAAGTATTATATTAATTATTTTCATACTTCAACCATTTTGTAATATCTCTGAGAACCTATTGAAATAAGAAAATTGAATAAATGTGAACCTTCTAGTCTTTTATAAAAAATTAAATCGAATTAAGTAACTTAAAAAATGAAATTTACGGTGTTACTCCAGGTATAAATTTTAATTCTTATAGGTATAACTTGTTCGGCATAGATCCGAACAATTCCAAACTGTGGTGAATTATAGTTTACTTATTGAAGAATGTTTTGAAAGTAATAAAAAATATGTGTTCTTAAATAAAAAGAAATGATAGTCGTTGAAAGTAGCGTTACTCATTATTTTATAATAATGAAATGTCTATACATTTTTGTAAATATCTTTTGCGGCGATTATTCGATTTGAATTTTTCAAATTGGAGCTTATTGCTTGTGAACAGACGAACAAATGTATGTATCATAGAATAGAGTGCAATCAGAATTAAAGAAAATATTCCAATAATTATCACTCTATGTTTAAGCGTGAACCATTTTCAACTTAGCCTTTTTTCAGTAGCACAACTACAGGATAAAATATGATGAGTTGAAAACATGTGTGATTATATAAAGACATTATTATAATTCTTGTATGCAAACGCCAAATTATATTTTCAATTTATAACGTCTAAAAATTAAAAATAAAAAAAAATTTATCGAAATTTAACTAGTTAATCGTGAAAAATGAATTATCCTTTCATTTGTTTTATTTTCAAAGTTATATCAAAATCGATGTCAATAATGTCAGTTTGTTGGTTAAAATAGTTAATATCAAAATTAGTAAGTAAACAATTTAATTTACAGAAATAAAAAATTAAATGCTAATAAATAAAATATATAATAAAATATGATAAAATATAAATAATTTATTTTTGATAATTAAAAAATTAATTATTTGTATTTTATCATATTTTATTATTCAAAATGTTTTGCACATATTTCAAATAATATATAAAAAAAAACAAAGAAATGCCATTTTTAATTATAATTTCCAGAAGAAAAATAATATTTTCGTTTTTGGCTTTTAACTCAAACGGCATTAAAATAAAATGAATCACGCAAGAAGATAATTGTTCTTGAATATATTTTAAAGAAAGTAAACCATAAATAAAAGGTGTGCTTGCTATTTGGAAAATTTTCATCTTGATAAGTAAAAATCGGCCGGTTCTGTGGATTTGCCCATATGCGTGATCGCGTTCGAAAAAAGGGTGTTATATCGACCAAAATATGGCGGAATTTTTTTTTAAATTTATCAGATTCGTTTGAAACATGTTACTGAAAGATTTTCGAGGTCGCATGATTACGAATTTGATGTAATTTTTTCAAAATCCAAAATTGCGGAGTTTTTTTTTAAAGTCATTAGGTTTGCTATTGAAACTCATTGCCAAGAAGTTTTCAGGGTCATTGATTACAAATTCGATGTTACTTTTTAACAATTCAAAATAGTACATCCAATATGCCAAAAAAAAAAAATTTTTAAATTCATCATTTTGCTTGAAATTAGTTATTCGAGGATTTTGGGGGTAACAAATCACGATCTTAATGTCATATTCGTAATCTGGTAAAGAGTAAAACCCCTGAGTAGCATGTTTCAAGTTAATACGATCAATTTTTTAAAAAAGTTTCTGACATTTTGGATCCGCCATTTTGAATTTTAAAAAATGACATCGGATTCGTAATCAGCGACCCTTAAAATCCCTAGAAATCCACTGTTATGAAATTCTAATAATTTTTTTCAAAATTCGACCGTTATATTGGATCCGACATTTTGAATTTTGTAATTCTTCAGATTCGTAATCAGTGTCCCATAAAACCCTTAGATATCTACCCGCAATGATATGAAATTTAATCGATTTTTTCAAAATTCCTTTTGCCATATTGGATTCACTTTCTTGAAGAGGAACCCCCCCACCTCCCCCTTAGGTGTTTACGTAATATTCGAATGACCCCAAATTAAATTTTTTTTTTGACCTTCTACCTTCTGAAATATAACCTTTAAAATTAAATTCAGATTAAAAAATAATAAATTAATAAAAATTCTTTAAAATAACATCACAATAATTAAATTTTAAATTCCATTAAAATAATTTAAAATAAATAATAAAAATCTCCGTTATTAATTATACATAGACCTACAAATTTTAGACGCAGAAACCGGAATAGTCATTTCCGATATAATTTATCACGCTAAATCCAAAAATGACAAGCAAATTGCTCTATCACGTCAGCATTTTGAGATATTTTAACCTAAAAGTGTAAAAAATGCCGTTTTTGGCAATATTTGATACTCTATAAAATCGACAAAATTTTTGTTTAATCATTCGTCCAAATTTCAAAAAAAAGTATTATATTTCCCCTTTCAAAATTTTCTTGGCTTGATCTGATCCAATTTTTTTCTCTGAGATACAGCCATTTGCGTTTTACATTGCATGAACTAAAATCCCTTTAAAAAAGAAAAATAAATTGCGAAGTACTCATGGCACTGAAAATTGTTACTCAGGGGGTTTTAAAATCGCTAATTACGAATGTGATATCAGATTCAAAAATCTGACATTCAATTCGTAATCAGCGACCCTAAAAGCCCCCAAGTAATGAATGACAAGCGAATTTGGTAAATTTTTTAAAAAGTGTCCGCCATATGGGTTCCGACATTTTGAAATTCAAAAATCTGACGTCAGATTCGAAATTAGCGACCTCAAAAATTCCCGAGAAATAAAGTTTCAGTGATATGAGTACTTTGCAATTTATTTTTCTTTTTGAAAGGGATTTTAGTTCATATAATGTAAAACTTAAATGGTTGTATCTCAGAGAAAAAAAATTGGATCAGATCGAACCTAGAAAATTTCGAAAGGAGAAATATAATACTTTCTTTTGAAATTTGGACCAATGATTAAAAAATTTTTTTGTCTATTTTATAGAGTGTCGAATATTACCAAAAACTTTATTTTTCACGCTTTTAGGTTAGAATATCTCAACATGCTGACGTGATAGAGTAATTTCCTTGTCATTTTTGGATTCAGCGTGACAAATTACATCGAAAATGACTATTCCGGTTTCTAGGTCTGACAAAATCCAAAATTTTGTAGGCCTGTGTTATTAATATTAATTAAATTATCTGATTACATATCCAGAGAAAAAATATATTTGTTGGTTTCAAATTTTATTTTTATTAAATAAAAATGTTATTTCCACCAAACAAAATTTTTATTTGTTTGTTTGAAAAAAGTAAGTAGATATTTCTTTAGCTTTAAAAACAAATATATTTTTTCATTTCGTTAGCCCCAAGTCGAATGGACGCAACTTTCAGAGACATTTTGGAAAGTACGTAACTTCCACAGCCGTTTTGGAAGTCACGTAACTTTGTGGTGCAGAGCAGAATGTACGTAACTCTGAGAAACGTTTGGAACTCGCTTATGTTGGTTTTTTGTGTTTTTGCAAAATACAAATTACAATATTTCTGCTCGGAACATAACATAGGATGCTTGTAGGTTAAATAATTGAGATTTTATTGAACATTGCCTTACACTTTTTATTGCTATGTTCCGAGCAGAAATATTGTAATTTGTATTTTGCAAAAACACAAAAAACCAACTTAAGCGAGTTCCAAACGTTTCTCAGAGTTACGTACATTCTGCTCTGCACCACAAAGTTACGTGATTTCCAAAACGGCTGTGGAAGTTGCGTACTTTCCAAAATGTCTCTGAAAGTTGCATACATTCGACTTGGGGCTAACGATTTAATTAAAAAGCATCATATTTTATAAAAATAAAAAATTACTCTACATATTTCCTATATTATAATCTTAATAAATAAAGTAACAATTCTATAAAGAGACTATTATTAATGTTTAATGTCTACTTTTTTTTGAAAATAGAAATCTTCTGTCTACTTAGAGAGGTATATGTTATATAGAGTAAAAAAGACAAGTATAGAGGGAGAGCGAATAGAGTATAGAGATATAGAGTAAATAGCCCCAGAGCCGTATCAGGAAAAATAGTTTTCAGCCACCTTCACCTTCACCTTTCAACACGAGAGTACATGACTCACCTTCTTCGAGGGGCTGTGCTCTCTTAGCAAACGCCCTAGAAAATACACCACGAGACTTCGAGGCACCCACGCCATTTTCAACGGCTGTGCTCATTTTGTATTTTTCTCTCAAAAGAACCCTTTCACCCGCGAGACGCTTCATGGACGTGCAAAGCCATCTGGAAGGGACAATGTTCGTTTTCTATTGTTAAAATATAACCTTTTTTTCTCGACAAATTCATTTTTATGTGTTTTTTTTTTCAAAATTCGACACACAAACCTCATGTCAAAAATAATATATTCCCGACATGTGATATTGCAATTAATTATAATTTTAAACAATAACAAATAAGAACAACAATAATAATAGTAATAATTAATAATAATAATTACAGTAATAATAATAATAATTGTTAAAAATAAAAATAACCGTTAATGAACAAAAAAGGGTTAATAGTACAATGGATTGCATTCTATGTACTCCATGCATTTTTCACTTAGAGGCCGTTTTCACCGTGTGGATAAATTTAATCCTCCGAGAGGTTAAAAAGGCAGTAAACATATTCTGCGTCTGCGTAGAATGTTTGTATGTAGCGTCTGCGCAGACGCAGAAATTATATGTATAGTGCCTTTAACCTCTCGGGGGATTAAAACAGCCTCTTATTATAGTGTTCAAAAAAAATAAAAACATAACCTTTTCAGTATAGTTTTCATAATTTATGAAAAACTATTGGGTAATAATTGTTTCAAAATTTAAAATTGGTTCAATATATTTGTTGTCCAAAACAATATTGTGTATCAATCGATCTGACACTAATCTTCAAAAAATATATTTGAAAAGAAAAATTTGGGTACGCATGATTATGTTCTAAAAATCATTATAGTCATAATTTACATTTTATCGAATTTTATTTGTCCTAATTATAGTTTTAAGCCGAATTTTTATTTGTTCGAAATAGCATTTGGCATAATTTACATCAAAGCGATTTTCTATATTAAAGAATTTTTATATAACGGAAAATTCAACTCACAGAATTTTTATTTCTTCGAATTTTTATTTGTCAGAATTTTTATTTTTTTGGGTTTTTTTTTTTTAGGTAGAATTTCATTGAATAGAATTTTCATTCAGATGAATTTTCATTTGTTCGAATTATTATTTGATATAATTTCCATATAATCGATTTTTCATACTACAGAATTTTTACTTAACCGACAAATCATTTAATAGAATTTCTAATTGATAGAATTTTCATTTGTCCGAATTTTCAAATGGTCGAACAAACTATCGACAGAAAGATTTCGGCGCGATTTTTAAAATCAACCAATCAAAAATTATTCATAAAATTGTGATTGGTTGATTTTAAAAATCGCGCCGAAATCTTTCTGTCGATAGTTTGTTCGGCCATTTGAAAATTCTATCAATTAGAAATTCTATTAAATGATTTGTCGGTTAAGTAAAAATTCTGTAGTATGAAAAATCGATTATATGGAAATTATATCAAATAATAATTCGAACAAATGAAAAATCATCTGAATGAAAATTCTATTCAATGAAATTCTACCCAATAAAAATTCTTTAAAATGCCTATTATGTTAAATGAAAATTCGAACAAATAAAAATTATGACAAATAAAAATTCTGTGAGTTGAATTTTCCGTTATATAAAAATTCTTTAATATAGAAAATCGCTTTGATGTAAATTATGCCAAATGCTATTTCGAACAAATAAAAATTCGGCTTAAAACTAATTAGGACAAACAAAATTCGATAAAATGTAAATTGTGACTAATGATTTTTAGAACATAATCATGTGTCCCAAAATTTGATTCAAATAATCGGTTACTTATTACTATTATCAAATAAATATTTACTTGAACCAAATTTTAAATAAATTTTACTTGAACTCGCAAGTAACCGATTATTTGAAGCAAATAAATTTTTTCAATGCGCAAGTATTAAAAAAATTATTTAAATTTCAGATTATTAAATTACTTTCAAGATATTATCATGTTATACAAAATTTAAAAAAATAATTATATAATTTAATTTCGAAATTTTCTATCATAACTTTACATCCTTAAATAACATATAAAAAAATTACAGGAAAAAAATGGTCATTTCACCTAATTATTCCTTGAAATCTAAACTTTCCATTGATTCACAGAAAAATAAAAAATTTTATTAGATTTTTTTCCAATAATTAAAAAAATAGTGCGTGCTTGTATGAAAAAATTTAAGTATATGGGTCATTCTCACAAAAAGGACAAATGACACGTTCATGACATTATTTTTAATAAATAATTATAATAATTGAAAATGTTGCGGGCCTTATTATAGAAGTCAACAGAATTTAATAAGATTTTATAAAAAAAAATTGACAATTTTAAATAATTGAATATAATCATGTTTATATAGTGTAAAAACTCCCCTCCGTTACCGTTCGCGAAGTAAGTTTTATTTAAAGAAGAATTATTGCATTCATACTGCAATAGGAAAACATCTTTTGTCTAGTAACATCTACTAATTACATTATTTATAATTGATTTATAAAGTGTAAAACAGAATATTTGTAAAATATTTTTTCCTAGAATTAAATAAGTTTTGTTCGCAAAGTAAACTCCCCTCCGTGACCAATTACAAATATAATGAGTAAATGAAAAAAAAAATGATAATTGAGAAATGAAGAATTCAAAAGTGTTTACAGTGACGATGTTGTTTTGGTCAGTACACAACATCATGAAAGAAATGAAAACAATAAGTGTCAGAAAGATTTTCAGTTTCGCAATGTTCGTCGACACAAAAAAACTCCCCTCCGTGTCCACTTTAAATTTAGTTTTTTGATAAATAAATAATAAATATTATTAATAATTTTTAGAATATTCTTTTAAATATCGCGAATACTATTATTACTTTTTTTTATAAAATTTATTATTTTTATATTAGAATCAATAAATTTTGGCTACGCCTAAAGGAAGAAAACTCCCCTCCGTGATCGCTAGTCACATCCATCGATTATAAAGCCTCATGCAAAAAAATGCACCTTTTTCGTACCTCGAATTTTGAAACTTTCTTTATGCCAAATGGTAACATATGATGACCCAATAATCCCTGCAAAAATTCAAGATGAGCATATGCCCCCTTTCGGAATTACAGGGGGTCAAAGGGGGCCATGTCAAAAAAAAGAACATGTAATATTATCGAATAATAATGTTAAAAAAATCAATCGAAATGGTTCCTTCAAGATTTTCGTCTGCTGATTACGAATTTGAAGTCCGTTTTCAAAAATTCAAAATGGCGGAACCTATATGGTGGACAACAATTTAAAAAATCGATCCGATTGACCTGAAAATGGTTACTCGGAGGTTTTTGGGGTCGCTGATTACGAATCTGAGGTCCGTTTTTCAAAATTCAAAATGGCGGATCCAATATGGCGGACTACAATTTCAAAAATCAATCCAATTTACTTAAAAATGGTTACTCGGGTTACCTTCAGATTTGTGTTCACCGTCATTGAAAACCCCTAATTATCGATTTTGAAGCCAATTAAATAGATTTAAAAGATAATTGTCCGACATTTTGAATTTTTTAAAACTGATTCCAGATTCGTAATCAGCGACCCCAAGAACCCCCGAGTAACTTTTTTCAAGTAAATTTGATGGATGTTTAAAACTGTCGACCGCTATTTGAATTTTTAAAAACGGACCTTAAATTCGTAATCAGCGACCCCAAAAACCCCCGAATAACCATTTTCAAGTAAATTGGATTGATTTTTGAAATTGTCGTCTGCCATATTGGATCCGCCATTTTGAATTTTGAAAAACTAACACCGGATTCGTGTTTAGCGACCCCAAAAACCCTCGAGTAACAAGATTTAAACGGATTCGATCATTGTATCGGTGACAAAATATTAAACAATTATTTTTTAAACAATAATGTTCATAAAGATCGTAACAACGTATTTTAGAGACTTATTTAGGTCCTTCTCTTCCCATAGCAATAGTCATAACAGTGGTTTTGAACTTTTTTTTTTTTTTTTTCTTAATTCAGCATTTGTCCTTTTCGAGAGATTCACCCATATATTTATTAAATACGCGACTTGTGTATATATTTTCTCTTTTTAAGAAATAAGCTTTCTAAAGCTTTAGGGAAAGTGAAAGAGTGGAAGAACTCTTAATAAAAGAAGGGAATTAGTTCACTTTAGAAATATGTAGAGAGGGATGAAAAGTGGTTGAAATTCGTGGAAACAACAATGGAAGAGAATAGAGGAGACGAAATGTTAATCCTCATCGTCAATGTGAGAGAGAGAAGAGGAAGACCCACTTGGAAAACTCAAGTGAAACTTTAGTTTGAAAGCGAGGCAAAAACTTGTCAAGAATGGATTTTAAGTATTATACAATAATAACAATGCAATGAAAGAATAATAATAATAATAAAATTATATCGAAACTCGCTTGATAAAATAGTTAGGAAAAGGATATAAAAGTAATTAGGAAGCTATTAACAAAAAATTCAAAACGAAGAAAAAGAAGATAGAGACATATTGCTGAATATTCTAGACCTTAAAGAAAAATTTCTAAAAACTTCTTTTTGCCACCCCTTTTTTTGTCTGCTTTTTATACGCTGAACTTATTTCAACTTTCTACACCGTCTGCGCTTCAATTGCTTCGCGAGCTTTTCTCTCAATATTCTTTGTATACTTTATAATTTACAACTTTTTTCTCCCTTTTTTCCTGTGATAAATTTATTATTACATAATACATTTTGTGTGGTACTGTCAGGTTACAAAGGATAATTATTAAAACAAATTACAACTATGGTAATAATAATTCATAACCAGTGTGCAAAAAACCATGTTCGTTCCAAAAACGTTTTTAGAATGTTTCATGTCAGTCAAAAAATGTTCTAAAACATTTTAAGAATATGGATGTTTAAATAATGTTTTAGAACATTTTTTGGCTGACATATGAAACGTTTTTGGAACGAACATGTTTTTTTGCCCACTGGATATATTAATCTATATTTTTATTAACTTTTTTCTCCATTTCTTTTTTGTAAAGAAAAATCTGTAAATTTAATCTCTCATATTTGAATAATTTAAAAAATGTCATTGAATGTTACATTAAAATTGTATTATTTTTAGTGAATACATTCTTAAATTTATTTTTATTCATTTATGAAC